TGTATTTAGTTTCAAGAATCTTAATAAAGTACTAGCGTAACTGCTTAAGGTTAAAAAAAAAAAAAAAAAAAAAAATACAACTTATTATAGCTAATATTTTAGATATTTTTAAATTTAACAGTATTTCAATGCTGAAAAGAAGTAAACGCACAAGACAATTACTAGAAGCTATTAGAAAACATTGGAAGCAAGCAAAAAATTCTGATAAGGAATTAGAATCTGAACCAGTTGAAGAATTAAAATCTAGGATAGTTGCAGAATTAGAGCCTAAACCTGTCGAGTATGAGGAAGTTGTTAGCGAGATGCAAATAGAAAACCCTGATGAGTTATTAGATGCTAAACCTGATGAATGTGATGAATGTTTTAGTACTTTTTTAATAGTAAAGACATTATGGATCAACTACAAGGGCTGCAACAAAATACACTGGAGCAATTAGTTGAAAATGTAAAGACAAAAATATAGACTACAAGTTTGTGTAGACCAATATATAAAGGTGATGCAGAATCAACATTGTGCAACAAGAGAGCATATTGAAAAAAAGTGGCTTCAGGTTCTAAAAAAATTACTAATATGTTTTCCTTGAAGAATGTTGAAGTTCCTAAGTCATATATAGAAAATTATGATTTTACATTTGATGACACATACAATAGTAGCGATAATGATAATAGTAAATTTACATTAAGATCTTTAGATTTTTTGTTAAAAAATAAAAGCGATGATTTGTGGCTTAAAACGGTGAGTCAATATCTCCATTTGGTTCAGAATCAGGGATTTAGCAAGATGGATGCAAGTATATTTCTTTCTTAGAGCTTGGTCAAAAGATCATGGCATGCATGACTCATTCACTCTTGGGCAAACCAGTAGCTAAATAAAGGTGAGATTATTACATCTAAACGTGGTCATTATGCAAAGATTAGATCTCTTCTTCTCCATGAAGATTTTAAATTACAAGTTACTAAATATTTGTGTACACATAAATTTACATTGAGGATTGCTTAATTTGTAAAATTCATTGAGGATGAGGTTATACCTGCTCTTGAAATAGAGGAAAAGACAACCATTTCACATACAACAGCATATGAATAGTTGCATAGGCTTGGTTGGCAATATAAAGATCATTCAAAAAATATATATTTTGATGATCACGAACATGAGGATGTAGTAGCATATTGGTGTGAATTTTTGCAGAAATTTGCAGAATTATGAAAAAGAATAGCTACTTATGAAGGTGAAAATTTGGATCAGATTATTCCATCTTTACTTTTATCTGAGATTGTTCCTATTACCCAGGATGAGTTGTTATTTTATACCAAGAACAGTGCTATTAAGGCCTGAGGTCTAGAAGATGAAAGCCAACTTCGTCAAAAGTTGCAAGATCTTAGTATCCATGTAAGCGACTTTATTTGTGAATCTATCGGATGTCTTCAACTTTCAGAGGAAGAGTGTGCTATTAATAATTCGTTACTTAATAATGAGCAGCTTATATATACTGAAGCCTGTGTTGTCATGCATTCTGGTACAAATCATAATGGCTGGTGGACAAGTAAAGATCTCATTAAGCAGATAAGTGAATGTGCAATTCTAATATTTGAACAAACTCACTTAGGAAAAGTTGCTTTGTTTTTGTTTGATAATAGTTGCAACTACAATGCATTTGCTGATAATGCATTAGTAGTTACAAGAATAAACATGAAGGATGGTAGTAAACAACCTCTTCTCCGTAATGGTCAAAAACCTGATGGCTCGACACATATCATGATGTTCACAGATATCGATGGTGTAGTAAAACCCAAAGGTATTTGACGAGTTATTTATGAGTATAGATTGTGAATACCAGGCTTGATAAGAAAATGTGATGCATGTAAACAAAATAATCCAGATCCAATTAATCTGAATTGTTGCACAACACACATTCTTTCTGCCCAGCCTGACTTTGTATCTTAAAAATCACATCTACAAGAGGTAAGTTGCTGTATAATAAAAAAAAATTGTTGATAATTTAACTTATTAATGTTAATAATTTTTTTAGATCATTGAAGCAGCAGGCTATATGTGTATGTTTTGTCTGAAGTTCCATTGCGAACTTAATTATATTGAGTCATTCTGGGCAGAAACAAAAAGGTATTCACACCTCTATTGCGACTACATGTTCAAGAGCCTTCAGGAAGTTGTACCATATGCATTGGAATTCATTAGCCTAATGAAAAGGAGAGAGAGAGAGAGAGAGAGAGAGAGAATTCGCTAATTTGCACGTTGTTCTGAATGCTACATGAGTGCTTATAAACTTGGGCTTATAGGTAAGGTGGCTGTTTTTGCAGTGAAATGGTATCAATCACATCACCATGTTCCTACAAGTGTTTTAGAAGAATTTGGCGATGTTAATCAGTAAACTAAAAAAAAATAATAAAAAATAATATAAAATAAAAAAATATATAAAATTAAATTTAAAAAAAAACAAATATATTAAAAAATGAAAATCAATAAAAGTAAAGTATTTTTATTTCTGCACTTCTTTTTTATTATCAATTAATAAATTGGTCAACTTTAAATAAAAAAATTTTAATATGCATGTGATTAGTTCATATAAGAGCACTGATGAATATAATAGATTAGTTCATATAAGGGTATGTATGCACCAGCGAAGCTTAAAATATTATATAGTAATAGCTATATCCTGAGTGATTGAATGTATATATTGCGAAGATACAACTATATTGGCTGCTTATGCAGCCGATACTGTTGTATTTTTTTTTTTTGCATATTATCTTTAATATTAAAGACTAATATGAATAATAGTACTTATATGTATATACTCAGTCATCTCAATTAAGTAGATATATCATTAATTGGGCAACATCAAAAATTACTTTAGTTACTCACATTTGTATTTGCCAAATTAGAAACCACTTATGAAACTTTACTCTTTATTAATTATAACTTTTTAAATAATAGCTTTTCTTTTGAACTATTACAATTTTCACATTATTACATTTGCTCTATAATATTCATTAAACAGTAATACAGTAATACATATCTATACTAAAACATAACTACTTAATAAATTCTACACAATGTTAAATAATATAGACATTAGATCATTAAAAAAAATCATTTTACTTTAATACAATAAGTTCAATGCCTAATAAAAGTTTTTCAAAAACTAAACTCACTTCAACCATCTTGATTCTTTTTAATCAATTGTTTTTGCATTCAGTACTTATATAATGCATAATATTTTCATTTTAAGCGATGTAGAAAAGACTATACAATATATAAAAAAATTATTTTACAATGCCAAATCATTCCACTAGTACATGTTATGATTATAATTCAGCACTATTTTTATTATATAATAAAATGGATGATCTGGTATTGTAAGATAATTTTTTTATGTGTTGCAAACCAGGTGAAGGATCAATTGTATAATATCAATGGTCTCCCTTGTAAGTTTTACGAAGTGAACATTGGTGTTCTTTTAATGCTACTAATTCTTGCTTCTTTCCAGGACTGGGGTCTGTATTTTTTAAGGTATTTTATCTATTCTCATTCTATAATCCTCAAATACTTTACTTTGTACTTCTTTTGATAGATTTCCTAGATTTTCTTATGAATTTTACATCGTACTGCTTAAATATAGGTTTGCAAAGTGAATCAGCAATCATGGCAAATACTGTTAACTACCGATATAATGGACACCCCTAGACCAGATTCACTGGTTTAACAGACCAATTGCAAAGAACCAAATCTTTAATATATAAATAATTTATAATGGTTATAATGGAATAATAATAAAAAAGTCATATAACAGAGATTTGTTCTCAGCCAAGATTTCTGTTATATAGATAGTTGACAGTATATTATAATTCAATTATTTTTGACATGTTACATTCTTGGGCTTGAGTCTGAATTTTTTGACGTTTGAACTTGTAAATCATAGCTTCTTGTCCCAAAGCAATAACTTCATCTCTTTCTTGAAGAGATTCCTAATAACTGTCGAAAAGGATAAAAATAGGTTGAAATTACATCGTATAATGAAAAATTCTTTTACAAAAGTCTTGGCGATGATCTTTGGTAACATGAATCACATGCAGCCAATCATGTTCGATTATGTGCAATAATAGTCACCAATCAGATAGTTTCATGTGATTTCGCATATGCTGAAAATCTGACAATTATTATTAAAATTGGCTCTAATAAAACTCTAACTACAAAAAAAATTAATAATATAGTGAGCAAAAAAAATATGTAACTTTGTAGTATACATTAAAGGCTATTTAACTACATATTTATTTTTGCTAGTTTTATATTTAGTTAAAAAGCCT